CAGTAACTTTATTTCTTTTTTTTTTTTTTTTTTAGACGGAGTTTTGCTCTTGTTACCCAGGCTGGAGTGCAATGGCGCGATCTCGGCTCACCGCACCCTCCGCCTCCTGGGTTCAGGCAATTCTCCTGCCTCAGCCTCCTGAGTAGCTGGGATTACAGGCACGCGCCACCATGCCCAGCTAATTTTTTGTATTTTTAGTAGAGACGGGGTTTCACCATGTTGACCAGGATGGTCTCGATCTCTTGACCTTGTGATCCACCCGCCTCGGCCTCCCAAAGTGCTGGGATTACAGGCTTGAGCCACCGTGCCCGGCTAACTTTATTTCTTTATACATAACTTTGTCTGCCTTCTGAGGGTTCCAGAACTGATGTGATACTGCCTTGCCTTTCCTTCCTTGTCTCTCTGGGTCACCTCTGTAGCTCTGAGAAATTGAATTTGCATCTTAATCCTACAGTGTGACTCCAGTGCTCTGTCTGCCAGCCTCACTGTCAGTGTTTCTGGCATGGCCTTGGAAGAAGTCCTTGAATAAGACATTTCCCGGAATTGTTTCTATCCAGATGTATTAAAACACTTGCTTTTTTTTTTTTTTTTTTTTTTTAGAAAAACCTTTCCTATGGTTCTGACAAACTTGATCCAAAGTATTTGTTTACAGTCCCTATAGCCCTAGAGGAGTATCGTAAAGTTTTACATCATATGGCTGAAAATAAAGCAACTGTCTAGTAAATACTATATTCTTACAATTGGTTATATTCATCATATATAGTATAAGATTTCTACTTCCAAAAATTATGTCTTTTATATTTTTAACTAATTTCAGGAAAAGAGGAAAGTTTGGCAACCATCTCCAAAGAGGACTGCGTATTTAAATTTGAAACAATGCCCACTTTATCACTGGTTTTTGATCATCTAAATAGCTCTTTTGTTTCATTCTAGGTGAGTACACGTAGCTGAAGAGGGGGATCTGTGTTTTCACAGCACAGCACTTTTTATTTTAGCTAACCATCCATCACCAGTCACACTTTCAGTGTCATTTAGATTTGAAGTTTCCATTTGGATAGGCTTTGCAAAAAGGAAAGAATGAAAGAAACACACACGCGCACACACACGCACACACACACACGCGCGCACACACACACGCACACACACACACGCACACACACGCACACACACACACACGCACACACACACACACACCCCTGTAAGGACATCAGCATTTCACAGCACTATATAGGAAATGCAGCAGACCTGAGTGGAACTCACTGGTTTTTTTTTTTTTTAGCATTTTGATTATATGGGTCTATGAGTTCAGATGAATCGAAGCACAAATGAAACTCAACAGACATGATGAAATCCACCGAAACTGCTGAAGTGGTTGGGCAGAGCCCATAAAAATGGTTTCATTCTTTGAGACGAGAGTGTAAAACTGGGCCTAATTCAAGAGGCAGCTTCTGGGGCTGTCATCACTCAACTCCTCAAACTGAGATACTTTTCTACAATAGGGTTAGTCTTTATATGCTGTAGCTTTGAACAGCCTTCAGTAAATGACACAAAGTAAGCTAATCTCTATAAGCAGCAGGACAAATGCACTATGCCACTTTTAAAATTACACAAATTTAATCCCTGCAACGTTTCTACTATGTTGATAACCTATATGGGTGGCTGGGGCAGGTGGTGGTGGGATAAGACCCAAATAAGATATTTTAAAGACATTTTAATTTAATCAACAATTGGCTCAGGGAAGAGAGTACAGTCAGGAAAACAACCCTGACCTTGAACAGACACAGCTATTTCTAGTCTCTGTTCCATCTTTTGTCCTCAAGCCTCTCAGAGGCTGAAAGTCTGCTTAGAAATTTGTTGTGTAAATGCCAAAAAAAAAAAAAGTCTCTCTAAAGCTATAGCAATTATAAGTATAATGAGATCATGTAATGTGAATAAAAGAAGTATTTTCTTCGTTTGTAAAACAGAAAGACTAATATTTGCCCTACCTAATTCACAGGAGGCTGTGCGTATCCAAGGAGATCATACATGTATAAGAACTGGAAAATGCAATTGATATGGAATGCTCTATTATTACTGTGCCCATAAGAGAACATTCACAAAGGGAACGTGGGTTTCACAACTGCTGACTGCTACCGGGCAATTCAAGTACAAGGTGGAATACTTATTTTCGGTTGCCTGGAAAACAATGAGATTTCTCTCTCATACACAGACACAAACATATTCCACATAATTGCCATTAACTGTTGACTGCTTTTGCTTTCATGAAATATCTGGCAAAATATGATTTAAAAGAATCTCTCTAGGGCTGGGCATGTGGCTCACACCTGTAATCCTAGCACTTTGGGAGGCCAAGGCGGGCAGATCACAACATCAAGAGATTGAGACCATCCTGGCCAATATGGTGAAACCCCAATTCTACTAAAAATACAAAAATTAGCTGGGCTTGGTGGTGAGCACCTGTAGTCCCAGTTACTCGGGAGACTGAGGCAGGAGAATTGTTTGAACTTGGTAGGTGGAGGTTGCAATGAGTTGAGATTGCTGCACTCCAGCCTGGCGACAGAGCAAGACTCCATCTCAAAAAAAAAAAAAAAGAGTCTCTCTAAAGCTATAGCAATTATAAGTATAATGAGATCATGTAATGTGAATAAATAACAGTTTATTAATAGGTTCAAAAAATGTTTCTAAGAACAACAAACAGCCCTAGAATAGAAATGCAAATGAACAATGACCACTATACTTTTCCCATTTTCTCTTTTTAAAAATAAAGTCTGCCTGATATACACCTTCTATGGCTCCTTTCTTATCAGTTGCAATACTTTTATATCACAAACCTAAAATTAAATTATAAACCAATTTGTATTTTCCAATATTTTTTCATTTCTCATAACACGGTTTGAATTTCTTTTTCCTATTTTCTAGAGTACCTAGGAATGTGCTAGATGAATGACCGTCTCACAATAAATTCTTTCTGAGGTTTTATTGATTCAGAGCAAATAATCTAATGTTAGTTATAAACTGCTTATATGCTGTAGCATATAGTATTTAATGTTCCTGGAATCTTCTTTTTAAGAATCATAATAAAAGTTTGCAGAAGGCTGAGCACAGTGGCTCATGCCTGTAATCCCAGCACTTTGGGAGGCCGAGGCAGGTGGATCACCTGAGGTCAGGAGATTGAGACCAGCCTGGCCAACGTGGTGAAACCCCATCTCTACTAAAACTACACAAATTAGCAGGGCATGGTGGCGTGTGCCTGTAATCCCAGCTACTTGGGAAGCTGAGGCTGGAGTATCTTTTGAACCCGAGACATGGAGGTTGCAATGAGCCAAGATTGCACTGTTGTACTCCAGCCTGGGCAATAGAGGAAGACTATGTCTCAAAAAAACAAAACAAAACAAACAACAACAAAAAGTTTGCAGAAGTAGAATTTTTACAAATATATTGTTAATTATTTAATGAGAATACTTTCTCAAATTCAAAGCTAACTTCAGAATTAGAATTGATAAGCCAGAAGTATTTTACCTTCCTATATCAATTCCGTAACAAAATGATTTTCATTAGACCACACAGGAGAGTCTTCTTAATTTTAGAGCAACATTATACTTCATTTCTTATGATATCTGTTTAAAATGCATATAATAGTATATATGGTTTAGGTCAGTATCCTTTTCTTCGGCAGTTGAAATTAAATCTCTTCCTGCACAGTTTTACTAAACCTGACTAGATGAATGAAGTATCATTGTTCAATAAATGTGTGATAAAGATCTTGACCAGTCTCGATTTTACAGGTAGCATTTTCCATGTAAGTAGAGAAAAATCAGCACAAAGTCCATCTCCCTTTTGTATTAGGAACATGGCATTGGTTAATTGCTGACAACCTCGATTTACTAAGTAGGAAACTGTTAAGCATGCATCATTACGTTCCTTAGGACACCTCTTTGAGAGGATGCCATAATTTATTATCGAGTAAGTCTAATTCTCTCTTGATTTACAAAGTGGCAATAATATTCCCTCTCACATAATGCTTTGCTTGGGGGATTCCAAATCTAGGCACTAAAATATTTACAGCCTCCCCAGGAGGAATTGGGATACAGGTGGTATTCTTATTACCACAGCAAAGAAAATGGAGGGGTTTGCCTGAGATCTCTTGGCAAGTCAGCTATTTGGGGAGCAGAATCTAGATCTCCAATGCCTAGCACACAATCACAAAAGCATAGAGCTCTCAGGAGAGTTGCCCATATCATGTGTCCCCAAAACAAGAGGGAAAACGATGCCTAGGAGGCTCACTGCAGAATCCCCACCGTGCAACCATGTCACTGTTTCCCTTTGACTGCACATAAAGCACACTGAAGGGTATCAAGCAACATAAAATCCTAATGGTGCCCTTAATTAGGAGGGACCATCACTCCAACTCCCTTACCTCCCACTATCTAAGCTAGCAGCCCCAAATTCCTCTCAGGGGTGACTAATCCTGAAAGCAAGGCGTAGTTACAGAAACAATCTTTGGCTTACAAGGGACCATCAAGCTCTGATGATGATGAAGTTTGATAGCAATAATGTCAAACTTTATATGGCCATAATCCAAGTTTACAATGATACATTAAGCCATAATGCTACTATTTATATCACCGTAAACTCAGTTTATGGTGATATAAATAGTCATCCTAATGGCATTAACAGCAGCACTCAGTGGAATCACAGCTGTTAAGTACTGCATTTATGCTATTAGCATTGCTATTTATATCACCATAAACTTAGGTAGTCAAACCTGTTATATATGAATGTAGAGGAAAGACAGATATCCCCATTTTATGCCCAAATCTTGGCTTCTATACTGGAGGCTTTATGGCTGTTCTCTTTCTCTAAGTTAGCTCTGCTTGGGTTGTGTGATGTTTCTGTAGGAGCCACAGAAGAGCAAGTCTGATTGCTGGTATCTCCTGAGGAGCTGGAAACAATATTTAAATGATAAGAAAGTGCAAGCCATAGCTGCCATGCAAACTTACTGTCTCCTTGGCAGCGCAGTGGACCCACACTCAATTTGGCTTCTGAGCCTTGCCGGTCAGTATCTCCAACCACCACTTGGCTCACTGGCAGGTGATCTTTGTATGTTAAGAAACCAGAATCCTTCCTCCTGGATCACAGGGAAAGACAGACAAAGAATGAGGAGGCTGAGTTAGAAATATGACTTTTCTGCTAGTTGCTTAAGTTTTCTAAGGATGACATTTCAGTAATTGTTTGGAAGTTTACTAAATAAAGCCACAGTTAAACAGTTGTTCTCTCTCTTCTGTAGGTGGTCTCATAGCACATTGCTCAGAAGCACCTCTGGCATCTTTGCCTTCTGGAAAACAGAAGTGACACCCTGATTTCCAGAGATTCACAACCATTATGCTGCATACTATTTTAGATTGAGAGTAGACCACAGCCCATGCTGAACACTGAGCACACATGCAGAGTTTGCTGCTGCCACAGAATCAGAAGTTCAACAAAGTCAACCTGATCGCTTGAATAATACATGCAACAAAACCTCTTTTAAAACAACCCTTTGTCTCTTTCATTGCTTTGAAGCAATTCCTTCAGAGGCTTTCTTCCCTGTGGTACGTCAGCTAAATAAGGGACACTTTTTATTCCTTTATCTCGTCTTGTTTAGTTTAACAACTGAAATAGTTTATGTGAAGTTTCCAACACAGAACAGGTGTTCAATAAGTGTCTCTTTCCATCTACAATGAAGAGTGGAGCTGACATTCGAGCCCAGTTGGTCTTCCTCCTGAGTTTGTTCTTCTGTTTACATTTGTCTTATTTCAGGTTTCCCAAGTCTATCCTGTATCCACCCTACATGAAGAAAGACAAGGCTAGTTGCAAAGTACTGACCCTAGAATGGAGCACAGAAACCCAGGAGGTGTTTCTGGAGATGGGCTTAAGGTGAGTTATGTGCAGTGGTGTGTTTTGGGGCTGTACAGCACCGATTTCACCCTCATGGGAAATCAGCGCCCCTTTGTTCTCTTGCTGCTGTGGCTGAGGGATCCCTCATTTGGGGCTGAATGGGTGGGAGGCACACAGCAGTGTGATGTCATTCCTCAAATATACCCTTTCAGATGATTTTTCATATGGTTCAGTCTGAATATAAATAACCATTTTGAAATTGTACATAGAACTAATCACAAAAAAACCCACCCTGATTTTGGATGACAGGAGAATGAGAGCGACAGTTCAATAATTTAAAGATTTGCCATTCATGTCTCTTGGTGAATAGTGCGGGGAATGGAGAGGAACCAACCTGGAGGCCTGTCTTCAAAATGCTACGCTATGTGGAGCAGTTACTTATACCTCTGACCTTCTTGAGTGTCAGTGAATATATGCTTCCTCATATATTTCTATGTGTCAGGACCCATAGAAACCCAGCAAGGAATGACAGAACTTGGCCAGTGGGCCTCAAATAAATGCATTATATACTGCCTTAGTTATTTCATTGTTCTCCAAATAAAGGGGTTTAAAAAAATAATTATGTATCAAATCAGAATTAAGATAATGCAGAAAAGCACTGTGATTCTTATTGACACTGGAGCTACTAATGACTAGGCCTGAAATATCTCAGTGGACTTTTTTTTACAAACCCACCATCTTTCATTGGAAGTTCTATGAATTAAAATCACGCCAAAGTGGAAACAAAGCCTTTAATATTAAACATGATATTTAGTGCTTTTTAAAGGAACAATAAATAACCTACTAGAAATGAAGTTGTGTGTTCCACCATGCATCTACCATGATGCCTGGCTAATTTTTGTATTTTTAGTAGAGACGGGGTTTCAACATGTTGACCAGGCTGGTCTCAAACTCCTGATCTCAGGTGATCTGCCTGCCTCAGCCTCCCAAAGTGCTGGGATTACATGTGTGAGCCAGCACTCCTGGCTAATAATGTTGGTTTATTTATGTTAAGTGACGATGCACTACCTTCTTATGACACTTGTGCTAGGAGAGAGCTATTCCAATTATTGCGTAATTTCATTGCCCAAATTGCAATGTGTATAACCTTATAGGAACTCATGTATCTACACACTGTCATAATTTGGAAAAACAATTTTTAAATGTTTGTAAACATTTTATCAATATAGACTTTTAGTAGATTTTGAGCTTAAAAAATTTTTATACTAAAATCAGGCATAACTTAGTTTCAAGAAAAACTGATGAACATCAGGGATGATAGAAATTTATAAGTCACATTTTATCAAAATTTTGGCATTGTTAGTGAATGATACTGAAAATATCATGATTCATTAAGAAAAATCATTTAAGTGAGATAATGTACATTATTCCCATTTTACTGACGAGAAGAATGAGAATAAGGGAATTTATCTAGACCAAGGTTACCAGTGTTAGTCTGGATTCAAATTCACACTTTCTGGATCCCCTCCCTTGGACTTTTTACTTTAAAAAGGGGAAAAAAAAACCAAAACAGAATAGAATCAAAACACCACTATGTAAATTAAAAGAATTTTTCTTTTAATTCTCATTTATAGGTGAGGTGAAAAGTACCTTTTTAACATGTACTTAGCTAGCCTGAAATGTTAAGGTTATTTGTAAGACATAAACTTAAAGATATCTGCAATGTTTTATTCACATTTACCCTGACTCTATCAACATACCATACTAAGCCAAAAAGAAATCTAGAACCACCTCATGACCCAAATAAACCAATTTTTTTTTCTTTTTCTTTTCTTTTTTTTTTTTTTTTTTGAGGCAAAGTCTCTGTCTGTTGCCCAGGCTAAAGTGCAGTAACCTCCGCCTCCCAGGTTCAAGCGATTCTCCTGCTTCAGCCCAAATTCAGTGTTTTCAATGATATGTTGAAGTTCAGAAGAGGTTGCCGTATAGCCAGCAGTAGTAACACTGAGATATTCCTTACCCAATCAACAAAGGAGGGGAAAATGGTCAGCTGAGAAAATAATAGAAAGAGAAAATGGTATAAAGATGTCTCCTTGGTCACTTTTGACCAAAGATTGAAATAGGAACCCATACAATGGCATGTGAAACTCTCAAAGCAGTGGGCTGTACATTAGTTGCGGAAACTAATTCATGAAAGCCAGTAAAGTAGTTTAACCAGCACAAAGTCTCTGTGATCCTACAGCACAACCTACTTTTTTTTTGTTGTTATATATTTTTTTAACTTTAGAGACAAGATCTTGCTCTGTTGCTCAAGCTAGAGTGCAGTGGTGCAACCATAGCTCACTGCAGGCTCAACTTGGATTCAAGGGTTCCTCTTACCTCAGCCTCCTGAGTAGTTGGGAGTACAGATGTATGCCACCACATCCTCTAATTTTTTTTTTTTTTTTGTAGAAACAGGTCTTACTTTTGCTTTTTTGCCCAGAGTGGTCCCAAATTCCTAGGTTCAGGGTGTGAACCAAGGTGCCTAGCTTCCACAACCAATTTGTGGTCTGGAGAAGGGTCCTCTGAAATACTTTAATGATGCCCATCTAAGCACCTTGTGTGATTTTTCTTTTTTTTGCAAGCAAAATGAGACTTTGTTGAAAGTTATGATCCTTACAGACTGAGGTCAATCTAATTTAGGGAGATATTCATAACGATTTATCATGTTAGCATAATAATCTAATTATATCTGTTAGTGGGCTTGTACATTGGAAAAATTCTATCATCCATTTCAAATAGGCCCTGAACTAAGACTCTTGTATGCTATTTCCATCATCATTATTACTCAAGTAAGGCGTGATTCTATGGATTTTGTTTTTATAACCTGATGTGACTGTTATTTCCCTTCAGTACGGTTTTCTTAAAAAATTCTGTCTTGTTCTGCTTTCTTTCCTTGCCTTTTTTTACTGTGCTTAGAAAGCAAACAAGCCTATAGGCAGTTTTGTCTTGTCCTTAGCTTAATGAAAAAGTAGGAAAAAGAAGCTCTAAAGAAAAATAAACATCTAAAATTTTTACAATGAGCCTGCTTTTCTACCGAATATTATGAATATTATTATACTATGAGTTTTCCCATACAGTAATTCTAGCAGAAAAGGACTTCTCTTTAGTGAAGTTTTAGGAGTACTTAGTGACCCTTAAGAAAATTATACTCTTAAGAAAATTTTATGCATTTCCATCACAGCATCACCCTAACAAGAAATTTCTGGACAGAATTCAGGAAGTCAAGGTTACAGCTACAGAAGATATCTCATAGAGAGAAGTCGAAATACAAAATAAACACATGAGAAGAAGCTTAATACTATCATTCATTAGGGAAATGTAATTAAAACTACAGTGAGATGCTACTTCACACTACCAGGATAGTTGTAATCAAAAAGAGAGGCAATAACATGTGTTGATGAGGATTTGGAGAAACTGGAATTATCATACACTGCTGAGGGGGGCTGTAAAGTCATGATTCTCCTGTCTCAGCTTCCCAAGTAGTTTGGATTAAAGTGCCACTGTGCCCAGTCATTTTTGAGAACAATTTGGCAGTTTCTTAAAAAGTTAAACATAGGTATCCATATGACTCAAGAATTCTACTTCTGAATATCTATACAAGAGACATGAAAGCATATGTTCACACAAAGCTTTTTAGGCAGACGTTTGTAGCAAATTTAGACATGAGACCCAAAGTAGAAATAATGTAAATGCCCATCAACTAGGGAATGGATAAAAGTATGGTGTATACATACAATGAAACATTATTTAGCAACAAAGAAATGAAATCTGAATACGTGTTGCAACATGAATAAACCTCAAGAACACTGCACTAAATGAAAGAAGCCAGACACACAAAAATCACATATTCTAATTTTACTGATATGAAAAAGCAAATCTACAGGGACAGAAAGGAGATTAGGGGTTGTCTGGGGCTAAGGGTAGAAACAAAATTCAAGGTAAACAGTAATCTTATAGCAATAATGTTAATGTCCTAAATCAGGATTGTGTTGATTTGTTGCACAATTAAATGAATTTACTAAAATTTTACTAAAAAGAAAAAAAAACTTTACATATGAATTGTAGTATTAAATCAATGAATATTATGGTATTCAGATTATACCTCAATGAGGTTATTTAAAAAGAGAACTGCAGATAGTCTCAAATGCCATTTGGCAATAAGGACAGACAAGTCTTCTGCACATATCTCACTGGAAATTGTAGGGTAATGAA